CTGACCTGCAGAAACGGTGTAAGTTTGAGGCAAGAGAAATAAGACCAGAATTTAAAATCCAAATCTGCCTGTGAACATGAGTATTAACTCCCACAAAAACACATGTGATCATATTTTCTCATCTGCCAAGCTGCTCCTCTCTCCCCCTTTTAGACATCACCATTCATTTTAATGTGTGTGTTTTTAAAAATCCAGCTCAAATACAGCAAGTGTTGCATGTTCTTCTCCCCAGACATCACATTATATACCAGTATTCTTTTGAAAGGATTTTAATCCTTACAACTAGCAGGACAAGAAAGCCTTGACAACAGGTTTGATTGTAATGTTCAACTTGGAAGGATCTGAGCATGATACATTAAGTGTTATATATCCAGGTTCTGCACTTTTAAATTAAGCTACTTGAACTCAGAGAGAAGCATAAAAATATAAACGGAGCAGCTCCTGAAATTCAAGCCTTCCAGTTGGACAGGCCTCTTCACAGATCCTTCCTACTGCAAAAACACTGCAGGACCCAAAGAGAAGTCTGTATGGGCTCTAAAATTGCTTTGGGAGGCTTTAAGGCAATAGGCTCTGATGATGCTTTCTCAGCATCCTCCATCTTCCCACCCATTAGCTTGTAAACACTTTCATCTTCACATTAAGCTCAGTGAGGCCACTTGCCCAGTACAGTTTTGGGTGTGCCCACATGGCCACAAGTGCTGGCTGAGTCATGGGGGGCTTCTGCTGGAGGGAGCCCGGTGGCAATGCTAGGACCCAGCTGTTCAACTGCTGCATCCAGCATGTGCACAGGAATGAGCCACTTAACACTCTCCTAACCTCCCAAAAATTCCCTGTTCAGAACAGACCAGGCTCTGTCCTTCACAAAAGAGCAAGAAACAAATGCTGAACCACATCTCAGAAGCTCATGTGGCAGAACCTGGCTTGAAATCAGCAAGTTTCTGGCCTGCATCTGAACCAAGCTCATTAGTCTTCAGCTATTTCTGTCTAGCCTGAAGCATCTCACAAATGAAGGATATTCAGTGCTCAGACAGACAGTCCTCAACAGTGAGCATTTTGGATCCACAAAACTGTAATCAGTCCAGTGGGTTGTTGTGTCAACTTTTGCTGGGTTTGAAGTCAAGTATTGCAAGGACAGTTATTCAGAGCCAAAAATCCCTTTTTGAGTTAAAAGCAAACAGGGCCTGTTAAACTCTGTTGACCTTTTACTTAAAACCAACAGACATACAAATATACTTCTTTAATGCAGGAAAATTTGGATTCTGATGCAATCATGTTACTCCAGAAGCCTGGCCTAAGGCCACAGTGCTGTCGCCATCAGAATCACAAAGACAGTGGTGGGAGCACAAAGGAGGACATGGCACTGTAGGGATAGGCAGGTGTGTCTGGCTGGATTATTTCCTTCAGTCTCAATGACAGTTTTTGCTATATTAGAACAACCCTGAGGCTACAGGCAAGTCAGTGTATAGATGCTTCTGGGCACACAATAACAGGATGGTTGAAGTTGGAAGGGACCTTTGAACATTACCTAGTCCAATCCCCTGCTCAAGCAGGGCCGCCTAGAGATGGCTGTTGGGACCACGTCCACACAGCTTTTGAATAACTTTAAGGAGGGAGAATCCACAACCTCCCTTGCCAACCTGTGCCAGCCCTCGGTCACCCTCACAGTGAAAAAGTGTTTCCTGATGTTCAGAGTGAATCTCCTATGTTTCGGGTTGTGCCCATTACCTCTGACCCTGGCTCTGTCCCCTTTGCACCCTTCCCTGCAGGTATTTATATATATTGATGAGATCTCCCCAAGCCTTTTCTTCTCCAGGATGAACAGTCCCAGCTCTCTTAGCCTCTTCTTGTAGGAAAGATGCTCCAAACCTGTCATCTTTGTGGCCCTTTGCTGGACTCTCCAGTAGCTTCACACTGATGCTTCAGCAGTCTGATCAAGCTGGCAGATACTTATTCCATGCTCCCTCATCCACCCTGGAAATTTGGAAAGAAAGAGGCACGCACATGCAGGAGAGTGCATGTCCCTTCCCCAAACAAGGGCTCTTCTGATCCATCAGTGGGGTAAAGGAGAGACTGTTTCGGGAGTGCTGTTTCACTGATTTCTTAGGGAGCAGCTGTAACTATCTGTAACTTAAGCTGTAACTTAAATGTAACATATCCTTAGATCTGAAGCAGAAAAAAAAAAAAAGTCTTATCTGGGTAGAAAGATGTTTATTCAAAGAGACTCTATGTACTCGCTGTAATTTATTTTTACAGCAGGTATATCAAACCAAGACAATGAAAATGCTGAGTCTCCAAAGCTCTAGCTTTTATGTAAATAAACTCTAAATGATTGCCTGCATTAAAATGTGGTTCAGTGTTCAGAAAGGAAAATAGCTTTTTTTAAAAACTTCAATTCTGATTTTATCTATAATTCTAGACTGCTGCTGTTTATTCACATGAAATGTTACCCTGCTTGCTGGGTATCAAAAAGTTATTCTGGAACTATATGATTAACACCAATATTTCCAAAAGCTAGACATCACATGACCCAAGACATGTGACTAATGACCCAAGTCCCTCAAACAGCAGTATATGCAAACTGAGCTAATCAGGCACATTCTTGCCACAGGTACAGTGATTTACAAACACCCTCCAACTAACAGAGATAATGGATGTGAGGATACCAGCTGGCATAGCCAAGAGCCATGCGCTTGCAATGATCCCTAAAATCTTTTCATGCACTGAGGGGTCCAGCAGCATACCAAAACACAGCTCCAAACCCTGCTCAGTGGCAAGGAGCTACAGGAATTGAAGACATTGTTGCCCCTTTATTGAATCTCCCTCTGTGCCTGCAGCACCTCTACCTCCACCCCTGCTGCTTCAGGCCACAGTCTGATTTATTGGTATAATCCCACCTTTACCAGAAATTTAACCCAACAGACTCAACTAGAACGCACAAGACTGGAGGCCCAGGAGCATGCTCCCTTCCACTGGCTGGAAAGCAAGTGATGACAAGCAGTGGGATGCAGCAGCATTGCTTCAGCCACAAGATGCAGGCTGGAGTGAGCTGGCCCCTCAGAGCAGATGCCCTCCCACACTAGAACAAAACATGCCTGCGTGCTTTGACTACATTTTTTACATGGTTTTGGACTTTCTCCACTGAGCAATGATGCTGGTTGTCAGTAAGTTATCCAGAGTGATCCCTCAGGATTTGTCTTCACAATATGATTAGCTCAGGCTGTAACTCCAGTTTCAATTCATGGGTGATAACCATCCCTGCACAAAAGTCTCCAGCTTGAATAGCTGGCATCTCCTCTGCAAGTGCCCTGTACTGCCTGGAAGAGCCATGCTGGCTTCAAGCAGACAGGACAGGCACGTCGCTGCTTCGGCCAAGATGATGCAGCAGAAGCAGCTCCTGCTCTACAAACCCACCACCCTGTCAGCCTAGAGGTGACTGAGCCCTGCCAGCCACTTCCAGCCTCCCAGCCAAAGCCCCTGGTCTTTACAACAGCTACAAATTCTATTTGGAAAAAAACCCCAAACGACAAAACCCCACACCAAACTAACAAAAACCAACAAAAAACCCAAATCAACAACAACAACAACACACACAAAAAAAACACCAAACAAAAAAAAAACAACCTAGCTTCTACTGACTTGCTTATTTTTCATAAAAGCTGCTTATTGCCCATTTGCTGCAGATGCTAGCCTGCCCTTTAAATAAATAAATAAATAAATAAATCCCATTGGCAAGCAACCAATACACAAGAACATCTACAAGGAAGCTGTTACAGTTTATCCACGGATTAAGGTCATTAATAGCACTTGATGACACACTGAGATGACTCCAAAGGTGCTCTTTGGGCTTGCAGAACATACAGAATGTAACCCCCTCACAAACATTTCCACTGAATTACTTCCTTGCAAATCTTCAAAAGCAGAGAAGAAACGAGGAAATCCAGCAGAAAAATGCCTAACACAGTATCTTGCATTGCACAAAAGAAGTATACTGAAAATAAATTAACATTTTCAAACACCACTAAATTTTCTTTTCCTACTCACTTATGTTTTCACAGTAGTAGAGTTCTTCATGAGTAACAGAAATGTTGATCTAAATCTTTTGCACTGAATTTAAAAAGCAAGCCAAGACATTCTCCCATGCCCAAAACACAAAGCCACAATGAAAAGTTCACAATAAAATCTGAAAAGCTCTTTTTTTTCTTTTAATTATTTATATGAAATAAGCTTTTCCCTTCTGTTGACATGAGAACACAAATGTATCATCACAGAAAACACTGTGTACTCCCCAAATCCCATGGGGTCATTAATCTTCTTTTATGCAGTACACGAAGTATTTTCACAGAACTTTAAAAATAGTTTTTTAAAGCGTGCCTGATGTCATTAGCAAGATGGAAGTTGATGGCCTAACAACATGACTGCTGAATATCCTCTGAAGGAAAGAAACCCTTCACTCTGTTCTAAACTTACACTGCTATCTGCACTATCCATACACTTAATTATCCATGTTATTAATTTATCTGAGAGACCCCAATATCAAGGGTAAACAACTCGTTATGGTGTCAAAATTGAAGAAATGAATAGAATTTTCTTAGTTCTGTTGATTGAAATGAAAGAATCCGCATTCTTTAAGTATTATTTGTTTCATTAGGACTCTAGTAATGGTCTATTACTGTGCCACTGCATATTTAATTTGTCATGAAACAATAATAATGGGAGAATACAATTGTCCCACCAGCTGTAAGCAATCCTGTATCCCACACTCATGTGCAATTTTTGTAAACAACATAATGACATGAGAAAATAGTATCCTTAGAAAGAAATCTCTTCAAAGCTCCAATAAATGAATTAGTTACTACAAATACCATTTGTATTAATATGCATCTTACCAAGAGAAAAGTACTTTCTGATTAACCTGGTTTAGTTGTAACTCAACATCTCACATTTTACTTTCAGGACAATGTGGCAGCATTTTCACTACACATGCAATTATTTTTCCTTACCTTTAAGGAATCAAAGCAGGCAATAACTCTTCCGTTTTCAACCTGGCAACTTTTAGGGGGGTGTGCAAATTTGCATTCTTCATCGGAGCGTGAACAAGTTCCCCTCTGAAACTGCCTGCACACTTCTAATGTTAGCCATTTTGTATCTCTTACAGGAGCAACATTCAAAGCCATGATGAAAATCTGATTTCAAATTTGTAAATTGCTGTCAAGTGAATTATGCTGAAGAAATTTCCAAAATTAATGATGAAGGAAAAAAAAACAAACCCCACAACAAAAACAAACACCCCAACAAACAGATAATAGATAATAAGCAGAAAATAATTTCAATTCCAATTGAAACGAAGGTTTAAAAAAAAAAGTGGGGGATGATTAACAATGTCCAATGCACACAGAGCAGAACAAACAGAGAAAGTTTATCAGCAAGCAGTCATTCATCAATCATTAAGTCCCGCTTGTAGACTTTTGGCTGGGAAAAACCATGCTCAGTTGCATTTCTGTCCATAAAACACGTGAGCCTGTTGATTGTATCACAGATGCACCAGTTTAAAGCCAAGGTCCTTCAATGAAATGGCATTCCTTGATAGAATATTAATTCTTTGATGGTTGCTTGCTGGTATTGACCACACGAGAAAAGCAATACAGTCATTTGTTCATGTCCCAGGAATAATAATAATAATTCTTCCCCTTCTTCTGCTTTCAGTTTTCCATCAACTAATTGGCAAATGGAGAGAGATGAGGTATCTTCTGCCAGGTATGAGGTGAAGGCAATGTCTGGCTGGCAAAGTCGGGATTTTGAGAACACAGGCGTAGCAGTCCTCACTCATAAAAGTGACTTGACAAAGGCACTTTTTAAGTCACTGACCTGACAAAACAAATACAGTATCAGTTCACGTGTAACTCATTCAAATTAACATTACGAAACCTATCGTCCCTTTTTATCAGATATTAGACATTACTGCCAGAGCTTACTTGTAGTTCTTTTTTCCAAACAGAACCAGCCTCCTTTGTGAAGTTACGTGTGACAAGGGAATAACCAGTTGAAACACGTACTGCAGTAATATTCTAGGCAGCTATCCAAAAGTTGGGAATTATTTAAATAGACGAATGTGGCAGACACAATAATTAGGCATGCTGGTTGTGGAACAATTCAATCTAATATGCTTAGTCTCCAAAACAATATACAATACCCCATTTCCATTAATTCATCATTTGGCCCTTTAGATTGTGCCATTGCATTATAAGCTGTCACTTGTTATTTGTTCTTCCTCAGAAATGAAGACGGTAGTACTTAGTTCAGATTTTTTGTCTCTTTGTCTTTGTTTCTCAGGGGAAAAACAAAACAAAATTGTCATTTCAAAATTGCAGGAAAAAAAACCTTCCATATCCAGAAAATAAAGTTTGTTTCCCCGTAAAGCTAAAAGCTGATTCACAAAGGCTTCAAGAAAGGGCTCACCACTCCAAGTCATCAACCTCTAATGAGTTCTTTATCTAAATTGTCCTTTGATTAAATCAGCTTTCATGTACCTTTACAAATACATGGTTCAGCATCAAAATCTAAGACTTAAATATGGAACTTAAGCTGTTTAGGGACTGCAAAATACCTCGGATATTTTATAGATAAACAGATCTGAAAAATCAAAGGGTTAGATATTATAAATATGTTTTAATGTATTACTATAGTTTATATGCAGATGGTGAAACCATGAACATGATGTTTCCTTCTATTCATCTTCAAAGGAACATAACTTTCACTTTGCGGACTCCAGCCAGGAACAGTGGATGGATTATTTTTGTGCAATAATAAAGAAAGGGGGAAGGAGTGGTATAAGTGAGGTTTTAAAATGCATCAATAAAAATAGCTCTGAAAACATTGTCAGCTTTCCCATGCTAGAATAATTACCATTCTGTGCTTGGATTCATCTGATTTAATTGAAGTCAGTATTGTTAGTAATATGAGTAAGAATTACTCACACACAGTTTCAGGAACAGATCCTAGTTCTGACTTGCATGTCTTCACTTCAAAAGGCTTTTTTATTATTTAGTAATGCTACCAGAAAGGGTTTTACTATGTGACTGAGAGATACCTACACCAAAATTTGCTACTGCTAGCATGAATAAAGGTAATGTAATGCCAGTTGCTCAAAAATTCAGTTTCAAGTCCAACGTGCAATAAATGGGTCTGGATGATACTTAGCCAGCTTTACTTGGTCATCAAGAATAATGAGTTGCAAGAGAATCGGTACATTTAAAAATTATTCTACACAAATGGAGCATAGTATAGTATATGAACTAAACATTCCTCAAATTAAATATGCCACCAATGTTGTCCCACGGCATCGATGAAGAGTGAGGTACAGCTGAAAATGTATAAAGAGGTGAGAAAATACTTATAACTGAAAAATAGGAAAGAGAGGGGGAAAGAAATGGAGAGCCTCTCTACAAGAGCTTGTTGAGCTGATGATTTAGCTAGCTAAATGTAAAAGAGGAAATACTCTCCCTCGAGCCACCCATTTCAATTCAGAAATGGTTTTCAGTAATAGATGTAGGAGACAGATGGAAATTTGGGGAAAAAGAGTAAATGTAATACCGCACACTGCTGAAGTCACAAGTAATACTCTACTGGGCTGCATACGACTAAAAATGACAGTGTCATTTCTTAAGTAGTAGGTGTTAAGACTGAAGAAAACCAGACATTGCACATGGCAGCAAAGCAAAGAGTGTGTGTTGTGTACCTGGCAGTAGCCATGGTTTAAAAAAAATGTGCACTACTGAATCACATACATGATTTCTGAGACTGCAACAAGAACTAATACCAAAAAGTGTTTGGGTAGAGAAGAAGCATCATCCTATTTCCTATCTTCTTCCTACATGGACATTTTCTAAAAAAAGAGAAGCATGAAAATTTTGTCTCAAAAACTGGTGTCTTGTCAAAAATAACATCGCTATCTGATTTCTCCAGAGGCATGGAGGGCTTCAGAAGTTCCTTCCCTTCACTAGGAGGGTGAGGGAAGAGATGCCACCAGAAAAGCCTGAACACGGAGATAAGCAATATAAGGAGAAGGGAGGGGAAAGAAACTGGGGAAACCCCCCCTGTGCGATGAACCAATGGACACAGAGTTCAAGACATGAGGAAAATACTCAAGAGGAAAAAAAACAACAACAAAAAAAACCCAAGACAAGTAGAAGGTAGGAAAGTGAAATGGCTGGTTGCGGAAGAGAAAGGAAAATATACTAATAAAATATTGCTAGTAAAAAGACATCAATAACATGCCCCCGAGGCCACAGGCCATTACTAACATCACAACCCACTCTGACCTTTATATATTGTAAAACCCACCCATATTCAGAGCACTGGGACGTCCAGCAAGTCTGAACTCTGCTCTTCTGTCCATCACTTCCAACTTCTGTTCGTGACCCAACATATCAGGCAACATATCACAGCAGTCCTGCCAAAACCAATGGGATCTCACCAGCCTGGAGCCCTCAGCACCAACAGAGTCCCTTACCCAGGCAAAAGGTTTGCTTTTTGGTTTGCCTGGGGGTCTTGTTTAGTTGTTTGTTGTTGTTATTGTTATTAATGATTCAAGCTTGAGCTTACACACCCCACTGTAACTAAACAAACTACCAAAACTTGGACATTGACAACTGAAATGCAGAATGTTCTTACTGAAGATGAAGAAAACATTCAAGTATAAAATAACTAATTATGTTTTTTTTACAATTATTGCTGTTTATTTTCAGTCTCTCAAACACTTAGATCAATGGAATTGATCCCAAATACACATCTACAAATGCAGTTTTTCATATGTTAAGTGAAATAAATTCATAGATCCATATTCGTAAAAACTATTCACCTTTAGATACCTCTTTCTAGATAAGCATCACTTCCCTTTTGCAGAAAGCTAGCACAACATGGATGAGTAGGAGGATGTTTCCAATCTCATGTTCTCCTGAGAGAGTGGGAAAGAGCCTGTATTAGGCTTCAAATCTTCTTACTGTTCTAAATCACAAAATTATTTCTTCTTTTCCAAGTGAGAAAAAAAATATTAAAAAAAATTAAAATACTTTAATTATTAGACAAGGGAAAGCACACGGGCACTAGGAGCTCCCAGAAAAGGTTCTTGTTCTGAGGAAAACTAGGCAGCCAGTACCTTTGGGAGTAGCAAGTGAGCACAAAGCCCTAACCTATTACAAATGAGCTGGAATCTCTCAGTTGAAAAATAGATTGTTACATACAAAATACTGGCTGCTCCAGTAAGTAGTTTTACCTATCAGATGGATTATGTGGCAATAGATTATGTAGCATCTGTCTAATGGAGAAGACAAGGCTTCTTGGACATGTGTTTATGCTTCGGTAAAAAATGTGTAGCAATGAGCAAAGATCTTATCTTCAAAAAGTGAGCTCTGCAGGAGATGACTTCCAGTAAAGGAGTAGAGCCCTCTACATGGTCTCAACACAGAGCTCCAGGGGAACCTCCAAGTTAGCTCAAAAAGCCTTAAAACAGTTTTTCACTTCACTCTTAGAGAATTCAGCACTTTGTAGTGTAGTGCAGGCTGTTTCTACAATTTAACACATATAAATGCAAATTCCTGCT